TTGCCTCAGTCCCCAACACTAGGCCTGCCCCATTAAAATCGTGTTGGGCAGGTTGCCCCTGCCCGACTCCAGGCCAGTACTTCCAGACTACACCACTACCAGGCTGGTCCCAGTGACCCCAGGTCCCAGACCAGCCCTCGGCTTCAGGCTAATCCCAACTCAGGCTCCAGGCCCAACCCAGCACCAGGCAACCCTGCATAGCCCAAGATGTCAGGCTAGCCCTAGTGCCAGGTTAGCACACAGACTTCCAGCACCAGGTCAGCCACTAAAGCCTCATGCTCCAGAGCAGCCCACGTGGCCCCAAACACCAGATCTGCCCCAGCATCAGGTTGGCACCTGTGGCCTCAGACACCAGGCCAGCACCCACGGACACAGGCTCCAAGCCTGCCCTACGGGTCCACATTCCAAGTCAGCCCCTGCAGCCCCACACTCCAACAGACACAAAGTCCAGGCTCTTCGGGCAGGCCCAGGGTCCAGATCCATCCCAGCAGAACCCAGCCTCCTCTGGCAAACCCAGGGTCCAGGCTCATCGCAGAACCCAGTGCCAGGCCAGCTCCCAAGACCAGATGACTCACACCTGTCTCAGTGGCCCAGTCTCCAGGCAAGCCCTTGAAGACCCAGCCTCCAGGCCAGCACTCACTCACCCAGCCTCTAGACAGACCCTCATGGCTCTAGGCACAAAGCAAGCATCCACAGACCCCAGCCTTCAGTGGATGCAGAGCCCAGGCTTACTTCAGCAGACCAAGGCTCCAGGACCACCCTCGCAAACCCAAGCTCCAGGCTAACCCTGGTAAACCCAGGACCCAGGCCTGACTCACAGGCTCCAAGCCCACCCCCATGGTCCCAGGAGACAGTGAAAGCCAGGCATTGTGGACTCAGGTTCCAGGCCCATTCCCATGGTCCCAGGTGCCAGGCCCATTCCAGCAACTGGTTGGCTCCTGCAGATTCAAGCTCAAGGCCAGTCCCAGTGCCAGGTCAGCTCCCAAGGGACTAGGCTTCAGACCAGCTCCTGTGGAGTAGGCCCCGAATAGGTCCATTCCACAGGGGGCCAGCTTGGCACTGTGAACCCTGGATCTACGTCTGCTCCAGCAAACTCATGACCCACATTTTCCCCAGTAAATATAGTCTGCAGACCAAACCTCATGGACCCAAGCACCAGACCTGTGCACCTGCTAACCTAGGTACCACAACAGCCTGCCTGAAGACACCAGCAGTAAGCCTGCTCACAGACCACACCAGAAAGCTTGCCTAGAATCTCTGGTCAGGCTAATTGGTGAAGAACTTTCCCAGCCAAAGCCAGTCTGCAAAGAGTGGAGTAGTTCCTACTTCTACAAATGTGCAGGCACCAATACAAGGCAACAAGAATCACAATCAGGGAAACATAATACCACCAAAGGAACAAACATTAAAGAAATTGAGGTTTATGAACTGCCTGACAAATAATTCAAAATAACCATCTTTTAAAAACTCCATGAACTACAAGAGAATACAACTAGACAAGTACACAAAATCAGGAAAACAATAAGCAAACAAAATGGGAAGTTCAACAAAGACACAGAAACCACAAAAATGAACCAAACTGAAATTCTGGAGCTAAAGAACACAACGACTGAACTAAAAAAATTCCAAAGAAAGCTTCAACAATAGATTCAATCACACAAAAGAATCAGTGCGCTTGAAAAGGGGTTATTCGAAATGATCCAGCCTGAGGAACAAAAAGAAAAAAGAAAAAGAGTAAGGAAAGCCTTTGAGAATTACGAGATGCCATCAAGCAATCCAATTTACATATTATGTGTGTCCCAGAAGGAGCAGAGAGAGAAGAAAGTTTATTTTAAAAAATAACAACAGGCCGGGTATGGTGGCTCATGCCTGTAATCCCAGCACTTTGGGAGGCCGAGGCGGCCAGATCACAGGGTCAGGAGATTGAGACCACGGTGCAACCCCGTCTCTACTAAAAATACAAAAAATTAGCCAGGCGCGGTGGTGGGCGCCTGTAGTCCCAGCTACTCAGGAGAAAGGCATGAACCCGGAAAGAGGAGCTTGCAGTGAGCCGAGATCGCACCACTGCACTCCAGCCTGGGCTACAGACCGAGACTCCGTCTCAAAAATAAATTAATAAATTAATAATAATAATAACAAAAACTCCCCAAATCTGTGGAAAGATAAAAAATATCCAGGTATAGGAAGCTCAAAGACCTCCAATCAGATTCAGTGTAAACAAGACTACCCCAAGATATATTACAATCAAATTGTAAAAAATCAAAAACAGAGAGGATCTTGAAAGCAGCAAGAGAAAAGAAGCACATCACATACAAAGGAATCCCAAGATGGCTATGAACAGATTTCTCAGTAGAAATCTTATAAGCCAGGAGAAACAGGGATGATCTATTCAAAGTGCTGAAAGAAAATAGGCCAGGCGCAGTGGCTCACACTTGTAATCCTAGCACATGGGGAGGCCAAGGCAGGCAGATCACCCAAGGTCAGGAGTTCGAGACCAGCCTGGCCAACACAGTGAAATGCCATCTCTACTAAAAATACAAAAATTAGCCAGGTGTGGTGGCGGGCACCTGTAATCCCAGCTACTCAGGAGGCTGAGGCAGGAGAATGGCTTGAACCTGTGAGGCGGAGGCTGCAGTGAGCAGAGATCAGGCCACTGCACTCCAGGTTGGGTGACACAGTGAGACTCCAACTCAAAAAAAAAGAAAGAAAAAACCAACAAATCAATATCGAAACAACAGACTTTAACTACACTCTAGACCAAACAAACTGAACAGACAAATACAGAACATTGCATCCAATAGTGGCAGAATACATGTTCTTCTTAAATGCACATGAAACTTTTTTCAGGATAGATCATATGTTAGACCAGAAAATAAGGCTTAACAAACTTAAGAAGACTGTGATCATATCAAATATCTTTTCCAACCACAATGGTATTAAACTAGAAATCAATAAAGGATGGATTTTGAAAAATTCACCAAAAAAATTCTCAAAAAAAAAAAAAACATGCTTATGAGCAACCAATGGATTAAAAAAGAAATTAAAAGATAAATTTTAAAATATCTTGAGACAAATGACACAATATACCAAAAGTTATGGGATGCAGCAAAAGCAGTACTAAGAAGAAAGTTTATAGCAATAAATGTCTACATCAAAAAAGATTTCAAATAAATAACCTAACATTAAACTTCAAGAACTAGCAAAAGAACAAACAAAGCCCAAAGTTAGTAGAAGGAAGAAAATAATAAAGATCAGGGCAGAAATAAATTAAATATAGACTAGGAAACAATAAAGATTAATAAAACCAAGAGTTGTGTTTTGGGTTTTTTTTTTTTTTTTGAGACAAGGTCTTGCTCTGTTGCCCAGGCTCCAGTACAATGGTGCAATCTCGGCTCACTGCAACTTCTACCTCCCAGGCTCAAGCAGTTCTCCCATCTCAGGCTCCCGAGTAGCTGGGACTACAGAAATGTCACCATGCCTTGCTATAAGAGTTGGTGTTTTGAAAAGATAAATAAAATCAATAAAACCTTAGCTAGACTAAGAAAAAAAAGAAGTCTCAAATAAAGCCAGAAATGAAAAAGAAAACATTATAATTGATATTACAAAAATATAAAGAATTATAAGAAACTACCATGAACAATTATATGACAACAAATCAGATAACTTAGAAGAAACTGATACATTTCTAGACATATACAACTTACCAAAATTGAATCATAAAGAAATAAAATCTTAACAGATCAATAGAGAGTATACAGATTAAATCAGTAATAAAAAGTCTCCTAACAAAGAAAAGCCCAGGACTTGATGGTTTTACTGTTGAATTCTACCAACCATTTAAAGAAAAACTAATACCAATCCTTCTAAAACTCTCCCCAAAAAACCAAAGATGGAAACATATTTCTAAACTCATTTTATCAGGCCAATATTACCCTTCTGTCAACGCCAAAGACACTACAGGAAAAGAAAATTACAGGTCAGTATTCCTGATCAACACAGATGCAAAATCCTCAACAAAATACTAGCCAATCGAATTCAGCAGCATATTAGAATAATCACGCCCCATGATCAAGTGAGGTTTATCTCTGGGGAGCAGAGATGGTTCAACATGTGCAAATCAATAAATGATATACCACATTAACAGAATGAAAGGCAAAAACCATACCATTTTGATAGATGCAGAAAAGGCACTTGGTAAAATTCAACAACACATCATGTTAAAAACTCAAAAAAAATTGTTATAGAAGGAATGTACCTCAACACAATAGAGGCCATATACGACAAGCCCACAACTAAACATCATAATCAACAGTGAAAAGTTGAAAGCTTTTCCTCTAAGATCAGGAACAAGACAAGCATGCGCACTCTCACCACTACTACTCATCAACGTAGCCACTGGAAGTCCTGGCCAGCGTCATTAGGCAAGAGAGAAATAAAAGGCACCCAAACCTGAAGGGAAGTAAAATTGTCCCTGTTTGCAGACAGCATGATCCTTTAGATAGAAAAGTAGATAAAGGACCCTAAAAACTCCATCAAAAGAGTGCTAGAAAAAAATGCATACAGTAAAGTCAGAGGATACAAAATTAACATACAAAAATCAGTAGCATTTCTATACACTAACAACGAACTATCCAAAGAAATAATCAGAAAAACAATCCCATTTCCCATTTACAAGAGCTACAAAAAAAAAAAAGTTAGAAATAAATTTAACCAAGGAGGTGAAGCATCTATACACTGAAAGGTAAAAAACATTGATGAAAGAAATTGAAGAAGATATAAGTTAATAAACAATTATATACTGCAATGACAGTGAAAATAATTCACTTTAGATTTGTATTTTTTGAGCTAGACATCTTAAGGCTTTTTAGTATTGTTTTCTCCTTTTCTCTTACCTTCTGTTCCCATTCTCTTACTTCTTCCAAACTCATATTCTTCAATTTTGTCCACTTATGAAAACAAAATGAATAATAAAGTCTAAAGAAACAAAAGTAAGAAACTACCTGAAGTCTTGCTAGTTGTGCAGTACGGGCAACTATCTTATTGTATGGTTCAACAATTTTTGCTTTTATCCTAAAGAAAAAGAAAAGAGAGGAGTCAGAATAAAATCATTTTCAAAATATCAATGGATAAAAATATTCCCATTTCATTTATTTATAAAATTAAGAACAGTACCTATCAACAGCTCCCTGTAAAGCCCCAATTCTCGTCTGCATCATCTGAAGAACACCTAGGAAAACATAAGCTTACATTGGCTTTACAAATTTACAGGGCATCCAACTGGGTAAAAAGTTTAATTAAAAGAAAATACATGCATATATAATTTTAACTTTTTCTGTCACCATCCTAATCCAAGCAACCAATATCTTTTACCCACACTGCTGTAAAAGCCTGTAACTGGTCTCCCCCTCCAATCTTTGCCTCACAAAAGAAGCCTGACAGGGAATGGAAACTGACTGCTTAATGGATGTGGGGTTTCCATTTGGGGTGATGGAAAAGTTCTGGACCTAGATAGTGAGGATGGTCGCACAACACTGTAAATGTACTTAACACCACTGAATTGTATGCTTTAAAATGCTAAAAACGATAAATTTTATGTTACGTATATTTTAATACATTACCAAAAAAGTATGACTGATCCACCATGATATCCCCTTTGCCCCATCACTCCTATATTAAAACTATAGCCCACAGCTTAATCTACAACTCTCTAGGCTTACAACAGGAGGAAATTTTCACAAAATTGGAAAAATATTTTCAGGAAGATCAAGCTTAAATTTTATTATTTAGGCTTTCAATTAGTACAGATATTTAATTATTTTGAAGGCCATTCTTTAAAATTCAGTTTCTATATCCAACTGGCATAGTTGTTTTGAAAGCATAGTAATAGCTAAATTTAAGTATAGACATGTCGTCATATTTTAAGTGAAGTAATGTTAGAACAAATAAACATTCCTATCAGCATACAAGTATAATAACACAGTTTAGTCCAACAGAATCCTCTCTGAACCAAAGATTCCCACTTTTGCGCTGGTTTTGTGGTGTATTCACCACAAACTGCCAAGAATAAACTGCCGTTACTTATAACCATTTTCTTACATCATATTCTCTCCACAACCCAGTCTCAATGGGTTTCCACCCATACTCCACCAAAACAGATCTTATCAAGGTCACCAGAAATCTACGAGTTGCCAAATTCTACTGTTGGTTCTGTCTTAACCTTGTTCAAGCTCTCAGAAATTCACAGCAGTTGACTACTCCCTTTCTGAAACATTTTTTTGTCTAGGCTTTCAAATCAACACACTTCCTGGGTCTCCTATTATCTCATCAGTTGTTCCCACTTCTCCTCTGGCAGACCTCTACATGTGCTGGAGTACCCCAAGATGTGATCCTCAGCCATCTGCTCTTCTCCATCTACAATCTTTCAGGAATTTCATTCAACTCCAAAGTTTTAAATAGTATCTGTTCAATAAAATACTGATTTTATACACACACACATATACAGACGTATACACATATATCTATGTAAAAAGATTTTCTTTATATATCTGCCTATGTTCTCATTCCCTATCTCTCTCCCCTCTTTCTCTCTCTTCCTACTGTTACATCAAATTTAAGATACCCAAGATAGTTTATGCCCTACCTTGCAACCCATCAAAAATCATACTTCTCTCCAGGCTATGACATCTCCATTACTCATACCATCATCTATCTATCCAATTTTTGAGACCAAAATCCTAGGAATAACTCATGGTGACTTTTTTCCATCAGCTCTTTCATCTGCCATCAACAAATCCTATCAGCTTTGCCTACATTTTACTCCATCTGCCACCCCTCTAATCCAAGGCATCATCAACTTAAACTATTCTAATATCAGGGACACTAGTTTGGAAGCTTCCACCATTGCCTTTTTCTATAGAGCTATCAGAGTAAACTATTCAGAGTATTAATCTCATCATACAATAACCTGATTAAACTCTTCCAATGGTTGGCCAGGTGCGGTGGCTCAAGACTGTAATCCCAGCACTTTGGGAGGCCGAGACGGGCGGATCACAAGGTCAGGAGATCGAGACCATCCTGGCTAACATGGTGAAACCCCGTCTCTACTAAAAATACGAAAAACTAGCCGGGCGAGGTGGCGGGCACCTGTAGTCCCAGCTACTCAGGAGGCTGAGGCAGGAGAATGGCGTGAACCCGGGAGGCGGAGCTTGCAGTGAGCCGAGATCTGGCCACTGTACTCCAGCCTGGGAGACAGAGCAAGACTCCGTCTCAAAACAAAAAAAAAAAACAAAAACAAAAACCAAAAAACTCTTCCAATGGTTTACCACTGCATTTAGAATTAAATCCAAATTCCTTCCCAAGAACCTCATCTACGATTCTCTCCCTCCTTCACTATTCTGGGCTACTTTCTGCCCCTCAAACATGCCAAGTTAATTCCTGCTTTCCCATTTATTGTTCAGTCTTCTCTCCAAATCTTCCTGTGATGGCTCCTCCTTATCTTAGATCTTGACTCAAATGTCATCTTCTCAAAAAGGCCTTCCCTCGCCTTCATCCATCCCCATCACCTGTTTCATTTCTCTGCAGAATTTACAAATAAAATTTTTCTTTCTGTTTTCTGAGATACAGTCTAACTCTATTGCCCATGCTGGGGTGCAGTGGCATGATCTCAGTTCACTGCAACCTCTGCCTCCCAGGTTCAAGCAATTCTCATGCCTCAGCATACAAGTAGCTGGGATTACAGGCATGATCCACCATGCCCAGCCCTGTTTTCTATCTGTACTTTTTTTTTCAATCTACCTCCAGGACCAGAACATAGTTCCAAAAGGACAGTGACTTTGTCTATCGTTCACATGTGCCTAGTACTTAACAAGTTCTTAATTACTATTTGATGGCCTGAATGAAAAAATAAATGAATGAGGCTACTTTTTTTTTTTCTGAGACGGAGTCTCGCTCTGTTGCCCAGGTTGGAGTGCAGTGGCGCGATCTCAGCTCACTGCAAGCTCCGCCTCCCAAGTTCACGCCATTCTCCTGCCTCAACCTCCCAAGTAGCTGGGACTATAGGCGCCCACCACCACACCCAGCTAATTATTTGTATTTTTAGTAGAGACGGGGTTTCACCATGTTAGCCAGGATGGGAGGCTACCTCTTTTTATATTATAAGCTTAATAAATATTTCTCAAAATTCCATGAAAACAAAAACTCTATTGCTATAGCTTTCTGAAACCTAGCAAATTCTCAAAGTAATATTTGGAAGAATATTTTAAAAAAGGACATTTTTAAATAAAATAGGCTTAAACATACCTCCAAACTACTTACATGGTAAAAAATTTTACATATTTAGGAGAATAAAGCAGATGAAGTAGATGCTAAAATAATATTCAATTTTTCTAATACGTATATACACCACACTTATTTTTCAGCATCTCAAAATAACATTCTAGTAAATACTTAGACACATCATGCTAAAATGAATACTAAGCAATTCACACTTAAAGTTTTTTATTTTATTTATTTTCTGAGACAGGGTCTAGGGTCTTGCTCTGTCACCCAGCCTGGAGGGCAGGGACACAATCACAGCTCACTGCAGCCTCAACCTCCTTGGCTCAAGCAATCCTCCTACATCAGCCTCCCAAGTAGCTGGGACTAGAAGCATGCACCACCATGCCAACCTAATGTTTTATTTTTTATAGAGATAGAGTCTCATTATGTTGCGCAGGCTGCTCTTGAATTCCAGGATCAAGTGAACCTCCCACCCTGGCCTCCCAGAGTGCTGGGATTACAGCCGTGAGCCACTGCACCCTGGCCTACACTTCAATATTTTATGTTCAAATAATCTAGTGAATATTCTGAGATAATCATAGGAATAAAGTAGCCAACCTTTGTACTCTACACACTTGTACAAGACATAATCATTCTAATTCAGTCTAGCAGTGTATTTCAAATATTTTAATCTTTGAAGAACGTCCTGGGAAAAACAAGCACATTAAAGAACTAGAACACATATTTAAAAGCCACAGTGAGAAATATTTCTGTTGTGGTGATTCATCTAGACCTATATACACTCAATGTACTACCATGCCATCCTTATAAATAAAAAACTAGTATGTTTTAAAAATTGCCATTAAAGTATTACTTGCTCTCAGAAATGTATAAAAATATTATGAGATTTAAACACATAATTAAAACTAGTGAGCTTCTGCACAACCAAAAAAACTATCAATAGAATAAACAGGCAACCTACAGAACAGGTGAAAATGTTTGCAAACTATGCATCTGACAAAGGTCAAATATTCAGAATTTATAAGAAACTTAATTCAACAAGCAAAAACACAACTCCATTAAAAAGTGGGCAAAAGACAAAAAGAGACATTTCTCAAAAGAAGGCATACATGCAGGCAACACACACATAAAAAAAATGCTCAACATCACCAATCCTCAGAGAAATCAAAACCACAATGAGATACCATCTCACACCATTCAGAATGACTATTATTAAAAAGTCAAAAAACAACAGATGATGGTGAGGCTGCTGAGAAAAAGGAATGCTTATACGCTCTTGGTGGGAAGGTACAGCCACCATGGAAAGAAGTTTGACAATTTCTCAAATAACTCAGAACTACTATTCGACCCAGCAATCCTGTTACTGAATATACATTCAAAAGAAAATAAATTGTTCCACCATAAAGACACATGCACTCATATGTTCATCGCAGCACTATTCACAATAACAAAGACATAGAATCAACCTAGGTGCCCATCCACAGTGAATTAGATTTTAAAAACATGGTACATATATACCATGGATAACACACAGCCATAAAAAAAGAATGAAATCATGTCCTATACAGTAATATGGATAGAACTGAAGGTCATTATCCTAAGCAAATTAAGGCAGGAAGAGAAAAATCAAATACCACACAGTCTCACTTATTAGTGGGAGCTAAACATTGGGTACTCATAGACTTGAAGATGACAACAATAGACAATAGGGACTACTAGAGGAGGGAGTACCTAACTGTTGCGTACTATGCACACTACCTGGGTGACAGGATCATTTGTATCCCAAACCTCAGCATTATACAATATTCTCAGGTACAAACCTACACATATCCCCTTGGATCTAAAATAAAAGTTGAAATGACTAAAAATAATAATTAATTTCCAGTACTAAGTCAATCAGTACTTAGAGCTTCTTAATTTTCCTAAGAACCTAGTCAGATATGTATTCCAGATTTCAAACAACTATTTCCAAAAATATTAAGTTCTTCATCAGGGTATCTTAGAAATACTGTACATGCTGAGAATAAGTTAATATCTTTTGGTACATAAGAAATACTGGGGGAAGCATTACAGAATATTACATCACAGAAAACAATATCCTCTCTCAAGAATTTGATCAACATAGGGAAAAACCACTTATCTTTATTTTGATGTACAATGATTAAAAATAGTAATCACAATAATGTAAAACACAATAGTAACAATTCATATTTATGAGATGTAGTTTAATTTAATCAAGAGGGAATGAAAAATTCATAAAATATTTAGTCAAACAAAAATAAGCAGATTTGTAAAAATAAAAATCCAATTATTATTCGACTATACTTTCACTAAAAAGAGTTGCAGAAAAGGCTCCAAGAAAGGCAAAAATAAGAAAAAAATTCCAGCCTCCTTCCAGTACTACCCACTCTGGTATTGTTGATGTTTTTATTGTTTTAATTAACTAACACAGGTGCACTAAATATGTGCAGGCATTGTTCTAAGTATCTTGCTAATTCATTTAATCCTCAGAATAATGCTATGTTAGTACATATTATACTCTTTTACAAATAGGAAAACTGAGGCAGAGAAGGGTTAACTAACTTGCCCAAAGTCAAACACCTAGTAAGTAGTAAAACAAGGATTTGAACCCAGATCATGTAGCTCAGGGGCCAGCAAAGTTTTACTAAAGTTTTACTGAAACATAGCCACACACATTCGTTTTCATATTATCTGGCTACTTTCACTCTACAATGGCAGAGTTTAGTAGTTGCAACAGAGACTATGTGGCTGGCAAAGTCTAAAATACTTCCCATCCAAAGTAGCTTGCCAAAGCTTGCCAATCCCTGGTCTAGTCCTACATAATCTCTAGCAGTTAATAGAAATATACCTTCCAACGACTCAATCCCAGTTGCTTGTGCCAGTAAATCTTCATGTCTTGCAACAACCTGAAAATCAAAAACAAATGATTAGCTTTTGCTCTGTTAGATATTTTTCCTTGTAACCACAATGTAGAATGAAAGGTCTCGCTTGGAGTAGAAATGAGGCAAATACAAATACAAAAGAAAAAAACACAGGTTTTTAAGGTGTGTCTGAGATGAGTTATAAGCAGGAACACACATACATTTACAGTTCAACACAGAGCAAGAGGAGTTAAAGCCTTTTCTTAGCCCTGTCTTAGTCTGTTTGGACTACAAATACAAAATACCTTAGACTGGGTAATTTACAAACAGAAGAAATTTTTATTGCTCACAGTTCTAGGGGTTGGGAAGTCCAACAACAAGGCACTGGCAAATTCAGCATCTGGTGAGAACCCATTCCTCATAGATGGTACCTTGTATCTATCTTCACATGGTGGAAGGGGCAAACAAGCTTCCTCGGGCCTCTCTTAGAAGGGCACTAATCACCTCCCAGAGTCCCTAGCTTTTAATACTATCATATTGGAGATTAAGTTTCAACATATGAATGTTAGGGGAACACAAACATTCAGGTAAGCCCCTTGCTATCTTAATGAAATGCACAAGTGGAGTTGTGCCAAAAAATGTACAAAACCAGCTCATTGTTGCCACACCATTACTATGTTTTCCCTTTAAAGAATATTTTCAAACATCAGGTTCTCTTTGTTCTTGAATTTGATTCAGCACCACCAAGGCCACATCCTACTCTGGAAAGATACAGCACTCAGTGCTCACCTATACCTGAACATCTCTCTGCTTCCAGTTTCCCAGTGTCACACACCCACAGCAAATCCTTTTCCCTATAGATGTTTGATACTTTTATGAAAATTAGGGCACTGCAGATGGCCAGAACAAAAAAACCAAGAAGGTTACAAGTTAAAGGCCACATGCAAGAGATTCCCAGAAACATCAAGAAATCATTCAAATCTTTAGAATAATGCAGGAATCCTTATTACTGTGTGCCTTTTATTCCAATGAATATGAAGTTTCATGTCTAGTTTGCTGACTGAAGTTCTTAATCACCAAAGATTAATTCACTGGAACCCCTAAATCCTCCACTTTGTCCTGTTACAGATATCACTGTCATTCTGTCAAGTATCTTTCTCTCATATCTACTCAAAGTATTACCGTTGGTCATCTCAGTCTGTTACTTGTAAGGTTCCCAGAAGATGTCCAAATTTTTCCCAGTCTACGGATACAGTCCTCAATATGTCCATCTTAACAAGACAAACTTTCTTAAAATTATCTATTCTCTTTTATCACTAGTAATACTTTGGTAAGGTTAAAAAGCCTGAAACTATAGTTTCATAGACTCCCTTGCAACCAATTAAATGATTTTTCCAAGAGTTGTGGAAGACAAGAGAGAGGAAAGCTAGGCCAGGCACGGTGGCTCACACCTGTAATCCCAGCACTTTGGGAGGCCGAGGTGGGTGACTCATTTGAGGTCAGGAGTTTGAGACCAGCCTGGCCAACATGGTGAAATCCTGTCTCTACTAAAAATACAAAAAAATTAGCCACGTGTGGTGGTGCACGCATGTAGTCCCAGCTACTTGTGAGGCTGAGGCACAAGAATCACTTGAACCCGGGAGACAGAGGTTGCAGTGAGCCGAGATTGCGCCACTGTACTCCAGCCTGGGTGACAGAGCAAGACTCTGTCTCAAAAAAAAAAAGAGAAAGAGAGAGAGGAAAGCTTACTGTTTCAGCTAGTAATAAAGGTTCTGAGACCTGAGAATTTAGACACAGTTAAGAGAACCACATTGACCACTCCAGTATTTAGTCATCAGGTATCTAGAAGCAGAATTTTAGCACTGGCATGGAAGGTAAGAACAGGTACTTCCAAGCCTCTGTATTGTATCTGTGGTAGTTCCTTCAACTCAGTCCACTAGCTATTCACCCAACAATTTTATAAGTATCCAAACTCTCTGTATGAAGTGTCTTTCTTAGAGTGATTTCTAGTTCCTGCACTAAACCCTAATAGTAAATATTTTACAGTTTTAGACATCTCACTGATACAGACTACTGAGACTCCCAGACTTCCTCTACTTCACATCCTAGGCTACTATAACTTCTCTCTCTCTCTCTTTCTTTTTTGAGACAGAGTCTTGCTGTTGTTGCCCAGGCTTGAGTGCAACGGCACGATCTCGGCTCACTGCAAGCTCCACCTCCCAGGTTGAAGTGATTCTCCTGCCTCAGCCTCCCAAGTAGCTGGGATTACAGGCACCCGCCACCACGCCCAGTTAATTTTTGTATTTTTAGTAGAAATGGGGTAGTGCCTGTTGGCCAGGCTGGTCTGGAACTCCTGACCTCGTGATCCTCCCACCTTGGCCTCCCAAAGTGCTGGGGTTACAGGCATGAGCCACTACGCCTGGCCTAAACGTGTTTTCTAAGTATCTGCCAATAAAGATTGAAATCAAATTATATATAATCAGACTTTTAGAGTTAAAATGACCTTAGAAGTCATCCCAGTCCTATCTAAGCCACTCAAAGAAACTAAGACACACAAAAAATCAAGTGGATATGTCTCAGGTTATACCAAATCTATGTTTCCTGGTAAACGATTGATGTTTCATACATACGTTCATTCATTTAAATATGTATTAAATACCTACTCTATCAAAGGCAACACTAGAAATTATACCATAAAATCTCCCTATAAAAATTACACTATTTTAGGAGAGGAAGGAATCTTCAAAGTTATCTACTACAGTCTCCTCTTCCTCTTGCTTATTCCAACCCATCTGATAGATTAAAAAACAAACAAAAAAGCTAGACTTAAAGACATTAAGTGAGATTAAAGTCAGTTAACAGCATAGCTAAAAGTAGGACCCGTCTCCTAACTTCTCATATTGTATCCTACTCAGAATAACATTTATCAACTTTCTGTAATTTCAGCAAATGCTACATTTTGTGCTTATAAAGTATGAATTGCCAATGTAACATCCCAATTTTTTCTTATTCACATTGTTTTACTTCCAAAATTCCATTTTCTATTATCTTTATCGAACACATCCTATTTTTTGCCCACTAAATTCGTTGCACAGCAGTTAAGGTGGTGAACAGGAAGTATGAATGAAAGGCTTTAGTGAGGTGGTATATTACAGAAAATTTCAAAAATTTACTTTGAAAAATAAGTCACACTGGTTAAGTATGCACTTCTTCATGTAAATATGCATTTGTATTTAATAAGATTACAAAAATGCTAAATTATCACTTTAGGCTAAATATCCATAGGGACCCTGAAAATCAGAATTACCTGTAAGTGTAGTTCTTTGTCCAACTGACTGATTCCTTGGGCAAGTTTTGCTAGTTGTTCAGCAATTACAGCTTGATGAATAGATTGAGAAGTGTAAGTCTTTACATCAAAGTCTTCGTTTAAAAAGTCACTATAACACTCTGGATTGGGGAAAAATAAGGAAAAGTCCTTAATTACCCTGTACTAAACCAGTTATTAAACAACAGAACAATGATAATCATAATTAACATATTTTGATCCCATACTCTGAACCACTCCACTACACTGCTTAATGCTTACTTTTATCATGACCCAAAAAGAAGTATAACATTGAGAAAGAGATTAAAAACATAACTACTGGCCAGGCGCAGTGGCTCACGCCTGTAATCCCAGCACTTTGGGAGGCTGAGGCGGGTGGATCACCTGAGGTCAGGTGTTCAAGACCAGCCTGTCCAACATGGTGAAACCCCGTCTCTACAAAAATACAAAAATTAGCTGGGCATGATGGCAGGTGCCTGTAATCCCAGCTACTCGGCAGGCTGAAGCAGAAGAATAGCTTGAACTCGGGAGACAGGTTGCAGTGAGCCGAGATTGTGCCATTGCACTCCAGCCTGGGTAACAGAGCGAGACTCCATCTCAAAAAAAACCAAAAAACAAAAAAAATAACTACTAGCTATAACTATTAATGCAACACAACAAGATCATTGCCAGTGAAAAGACAACAGGAAAATTGGCTATATATATAAAATATTTATGGCCTCAGATATCTCTAGATCAATACACAAATACTGTTATAGCAAAGTGAATCTGGAATTATAGTAACAATATGAAATATAAATTTATAGGTGTTACTGAAATTTAGGATTTATGAGTGAAATATGTTAACGGAAAGAAAAGTTATTTAAAATAGGCCCCTAATAGACAGAAAACAGAAGTAATTCTAGATGTTAAAAAGATATCCCTCAATATAGAAATCCACAAATCTATGGATGAAAGAAAAATTGAGAGAATTGAAAGTTAAAAATAGATACCCAGAAGGGAGCTCATGGTAACCATGTACCAAATCTCCTAATGATATAGTAGATACAATTAAAGCTGCCTTCGAAGAGATGATGAAACAAGCAAAATAGAGTACTTATAAGAAAACCTAAATTGTCTACATCCACTATAATGTATGCTCCAAGAGGGAAAGAAGGTCTTTGTTTTGTTTGCTAACTCATCTTCAGTGTCTGAACAATACCAGACACATGGCACGTTCCATGAATTAACAAATCTATACATCAGCTGATAGTATCATTCTGGTAACAACAACAACAAAAATAAAGTCTCATACTCTTGATTACTCTTAAAATGTAGTGGAATGAAAGAAGGAAACTGCTACTTGGCTACTTTTAAGTCTGAGAACCACATTTCCTTCTAATTTGCCAAGTGCTTCTCAGAACTAAGAATCCTGTCAGCCAGACAAATGAAAAAAGCCCTTCCAAGCAAAGGGAAGGCTCAGCAGTGGCAAATGCCATGGCATATTTTGAGAAATAAGGGGAATACTGATTTCAGTGTGTCTAGATCGTAGCACGTGTATATTGGGCAGAAATGGTAAAGAATGACAGATGTGGTTCCAAAGGTTGGAGGGCAGTTTGAAAAGAGGTTTGTAAGACATTCAAAATGTTTAACCATATCTCGTTTAAGCCAAGAAACTGCACTATCAGCTTTATGTTCCAAAACAATAATCCTGGCAGCTGTATAGAGGATGATGGAAAAAGGATTAGTCACACAGCAATGTGCTGAAGTTGCCTCTTCCGGCTCTTGAGCACTGACTGTTACATTTTCAGGAATTCTGTGAGCCAGTTGACCTTTCACACAGATATCTTAAAATCTACGATGGTGAGAGTATTTACACCATGGCAATCAGCAAACACTACAAAATCAGGGCTTTTTCTATTTTCCCACAAAGCCAATTAACAATATACCCAAGAAATACAACCACAGAGGCCAGTAAAGTACTATGTTAACAGCCTAAGTGACATAATGAAGGCCTGAATAAGACCTGAATAAGTGGCACTAAGAACGTCAAAAGTGACAAATTTGACAAATATTCACACTGCATAGGATGTAGGACTTACTGACAAGCTGAAAATGGGTGATCAGGTAAAACAAACAAGGATGATTCCCAAATTTCTTGATTAAGTAACTGATATAGGAAATTTAGTTTTACACTAAGTTAGACCACTAGACACTGAACACACAAAGACGAACATAAACCTCTGCCTCCAAAGAATTCATAATTTACAAGGGGAACAAGCACACATTTACCTAACAACACAGTAAACACAGATACAGAGACTACCAGAGGAAAAGATTAGGCGAGAATAGAAAAAGTGATTCCATTTCATTTTTTCACATGTAAAACTTGTACTATTTGTTCATATGTAGGTTTTCATGTGTATTATAGAACTGGCACTACTTGTTTACTATCAAAATAGAAATGTCCATACAGGTTATGGAACGGCATATCATAATAAAATTAAGATAGAAATGTCCAGTAGGCAGTTAAAAATATAGTTTTATAATTCAGAAGACAGGTAAAGATCATACTGAAACCACAGAAAAGACCAGATGATTTAGGAAAAAAAGTTTTAGAATGCACAGAAAGGCAGAAAAATGAGGAAGATAGGAAAGTTGGGGGTGGAGAGAGAAAATGAAAGCAATCAAAGAGACTAAAGAGTGCTCAGGGAGAAAGAAAGAGAAACAAAAAAGAATGGCAAAAGCCAAAAGAAGGGATAAAGAAAGTTAGTAGTAGTAGTATCACAGGGCTTACAAAGATCAAACACAACAGGATGTGGCATTTGAGGGCTTACAGCCTTTAAAGAGATGAATTATATAATGCTTCTCTTTTATAGTTTCCTCATTCCCATAGGAGGCATATCATAAACACCTCACCAATTTTCATACTATGCATCTGTGCTCACCAAGCCTATCAATTCGATACTGTCATTAGCCAAATCCCTAATACAGTGAATCAAAGTTTCTGCTGGAAATGCTTACTTCCTCAGGAATGTTGGGGGTGGGAGGGGTAACAGAGACAGCTTAATTCAGAACAAACTGAACTGACAAGTATCTACAGGAACCTGGAAAAGAGCACTTAGAGAATTAAGAATTTTTTAAAAGCACAGCACCCATAAACCACATGAGAAAAGTATTTCAAGAAAGGAATTAAATGCTATTACAAGTTAAAGGAAAGGACCAAAAAAGTGTCCATTTGTCGTATGTGCAAGAAAATCATTGGAAACCTTGCAAAGTTATTTCAATGGCATAGATTGAGGGTGATTGAGTCCCTAGGAAACAGGAAGAAAAAATCCAGAGCAAAGTAGGAGGGACTATCCTTAGAAAGGAGCAGAGACTCGGCTGGGCATGGTGGCTCACGCCTGTAATCCCAGCACTTCGGGAGGCCAAGGTGGGCAGATCACGAGGTCAGGAGTTCGAGACCATCCTGACTTAATACGGTGAAACTCCGTCTCTACTAAAAAATACAAAAAAATTAGCTGGGCATGGTGGCGGGCGCCTGTAACACAGCTATTCGGGAGGCTGAGGCAGGAGAATGGCGTGAACCCGGGAGGCGGAGCTTACAGTGAGCCGAGATCGCGCCACTGCGCTCTAGCCTGGGCGACAGAGCCAGACTCCGTCTCAAAAAAAAAAAAAAAAAGAAGAAGAAAGAAAGGAGCAGAGACTCCACTTCTGTTGCAATTGAAAAGGCAAGGGGAAAAAGGTGCAACGGATGGTTATAGGTTGAAGTTAAATTTATCGCTTTGATGGGCAAGAAATGGAGAAAGTTCACATCTGATGGCTCCTTTTTTTCTCCCCAGGGAAGCTGAAAGTCATTTGTTGAGCTTGAAGGAAAAGGTTTGAAAAGGATAAAGATTTAAATAATCACTGTGGAGAACAGCAGAGAACCAAGGAGGAAAATACAGAAGGCAGAACTGAAGACTATTTACCCTCCAAGAACTGATTACAATTCCTGAAATACACCCTACTGAAACATACATCCAGTGTTTGGACTGTATTGTCCCTTCCACTGTTCACCTGGGGAAGTCCTATCTACAGTTTAAAACGTCTCCACCTAGAAAGCCTTTTCTGACATTTCCTAACCAGTTCCCAACCCCCAGTTATCATTCTCCTCTATATTAATGCTCTACTTTATACACAATCCAATTGCTATCTTACATCACTGTATTACAGCACCTACCTTAATAGTCCTACAAGATTATTTCCTCTACTAGATGGTGAACTGCTTGAGGGCAAGAATTGCACATATATCAGGAGCAATTGCAAATATATCAGGGTCTCTGCCTTGTATCTTAATTTACATTCAGTTTAATCAAGTTTTAGACAGAGACCCTGACCTAGTTTCCAACACAAAATAGTTCAGAAAACATCATTGCTTTTGACAAAAGTACATACATTATCATGAGAAAGCATGTAATTCAGGATGACAATAAAATATTCAACAGTCAGAGAAAATAAACAACAATTTATAACTTTATTTCATTTATTACCCACTTTGGTCTTCAAATGTGTTCATGTGCTTCTAACTGCGACGATCACTTTAAAAAACATTCTGCACCTACTGTATGCAAGATACTGCTATTCACATTGTGGGATATTAAAAAAAAGTTCGCCATACAGAAGAGATTTTAAAAAGTATACAAATGATTTTAGTACAAGGTAGAATGCGATGGCCACTAGAGAAAAAATTAAAAACAGGTGAGAAGGGCTTTATTCTTATGCTTATAAATTTGAACTTTAAATTCTGAAGGATAAGAGATTCGGGCATGGTAACTGGATTGACACAACTGAATATGCTTTTCAGGTATATCTAACTTTTCTTATTTTGGGCAACTTCTCTCCAAACTGACTAGCAATAAATCTGACTGCTAGATTCTGTACAAATGGTTAATCCCAACCTGAACGAATGCCTCAAACCTTCTCCCACGTCTCACTGTGGATAACTGCCTCACAAAGGAGTGGGGAAAAAAAAAACCGGCTGCGAGAGGGGTGACCTGTATAGTCCATTTGTTAAAGGAGTAGGCGTTTCCAGTTCTACTTTAAAACAAGGCCCTACTTCATCATGCGTCTGCCGTCTGTTCTAGATCTTACACTTTTGAAGAGCTCGAACGCTACACCCGTTCAAGAACTGCGGCAGCAGCCCGTGGCTGCCAACGCGGGCCACAGGGTTTGGTCTCCCTAAACTTCAGGGAAGCTGGAGGCATGGTGGGGGGGGGTCGAGTTGAAATGAGGAGCAAACAGAAACCAGGTGTCCCCAAGACACCGGAAAAGAGGGAGCTAGTCCCATAGGAAACAGGTTGGCTAGAACAGTACCCAAGCCAGGGGGCCGGGCGGAGGGGAGTGGTCACGTCCAGACTGGAAAACTTTCTGCAAAGCAACGGGTTGGGTCCACCTCGCTGTCCAGGTGCGGCGCAGCGCAGACCCCCAAACCCACGACCTGGTCAGACCCCGTCTCCTTACCGTCCTGCAGAAGTTCCCGGACTGTCGCTGCAGCAGCTCCAGAACCTCGAGCCCCGAGGCCAGCCACAACGACGCTGCCGTCGCCACCTTCCATGTTGGCAGGTGCCGGGTTGATGTCGTCAGCGGCAGAACGGCCCCGCCCAGGTGGTGACGCAGAATCTCGGCGCCGCCCGACCAACCAGCCCATGGCTCCAGGCCGGCCTGGCGAACTGACTTACCCCGCAGCTGGGCTAAGCCTGGCTAGGAGCCGGGTGGTTACTCAAGCAGTGGGCGCCCGGGGTCCGAGTGCTCTGCGCCCAGCGCACCGAGGGAGCCAAGGCCGTCCGGCCGGCGCTTTCCGCTGTCTTTAGCAGCAGCTCTGGGCCGCGCCTCCTGGGCTGGCGTCGTGCCCGGGCCAAGGAGAAGGTGGGCACCGGAACGTGGCCGCAGCGCCTATCTGTGAAGCAAGTATTAAACCTCAGAACAGGGGCCGTGCGGCGTAAGGCAGGAGAGCAGAGCGGAGGTTTCAGGGAGCTTGGTTTGCCCTCCACACTCACAAGAGTCAGTCGTTAGTTGCTACACAGCTGTATCTGTCCCACCCCTTGACTGGCACTCCTGGGGTAATAAAAGCCCGCAGGAAATGCTTGGGAAGAAAAATTGCTGGGGATGAAGAGTGAAGAGAATTAGGGAAACTCGATGAAGAAGGAAGACTGAACCATAAAAGGACAAATAAAACTCACTGTCTCTACCCTCCTTCCTTCCCTGAGACCTTTGACCTTTTGCCTTTTCTACCTCTTCCTCACTTTCAGCCACATGTCAGACTTTTTCTTAATTACAAACTGATAAATTGTCTATCTCAACTAACGGTATTGAGGCTGTAAGAGCATCAGGTTGGTTCCCATTGTATCTTCTCAGCTAATACGTTCGCATTTTTGACCTAGATTTCTTTCTTCTAAGATAAATACTGATAAATTAACAGGGTCAATCAACCACAAGTATGCAAGAAAGTCTTAAGCTTCTTCGCAAAAAGAAACTGTAATATGACTTTTTCATTTTCTACAGTAGGTATGTATCCAGGAAACCAATTTTGTCCAGTTCCAGAGCTACATGGTTTTCTACATTCTGTTTCAAAAAGGTGCTACTGCTTATCCTGTGCTTATCGCTGTTCTAAGTATTTTATAAATCTAAATGCATTTCATACTCATAACACCTCAGGTAAGCAAGTCTTAATGCTACACTGCATTATGCTCTCTTTGTCTCAGAGGATTTTCCCTAGTATGTAAGATCTTAGTCATGATGGGAATAGGAGTGATTCGTTCATTACTTGTGAATTAGGAATTATTTTTCCTTCCTTGACTTTATTCCCCACAGTGGAAGATTTTAGAACAGTGAATAATATTCACTCATAGAGTGAAAGTTTTGACCCCTCTACTCTGCATGCTCTCATGAGTTTACAAACATAAGACTCAATCCATATCCTAAAAGGAGCTAATAGGTAAGGCAGGAACCCATTTAAACAAACAATTGTACCAGGTGCTTTGGAATCTTTGGATTTACTTATTCCAGTAATTCCAAGCTTAGCTGCACATTGAAATCACCTGAAGAGCTTTAATAAAAACACTGATGCCTGCATTCTGAGCCCAGACATTTGGATTTAATTGGTTTAGGGTATGGCTTGGGCATCCTAACTCTTAAAAGCTCCCCAGTTCATTATAGTATACAACTAAAGTTGAAAGCTACCGATTGTTTTGTTTTGTTTTCTTTTGTTGAGTTGGGATCTAGCTCTGTCACCCAGGCTGGAGTGCAGTGGCAGGATCATGGCTCACTGCAGCCTCAACCTTCTGGGCTCAAGGGATCCTCCTGCCTAAGCTTCTAGAGTAGCTGAAACCACAGGTGCTTGCTGCTACGCCCAGCTAATTTTTATAATTTTTTTAGAGATGGGAATCTCACTATATTGCCCAAGCTGGTCTGGAACTCCTGCCTTGGCCTCCCAAAATGCTGAGTTTACAGGTGTGAGCCCAGCCCCCTGAAAGCTACTGATTTATTCTTTAAGCAAATAAATATTGAGGCCTTCTTCTGTATGCCATTTACTATGACTGCAGGAGTGGATAAAAATGAAATAATTCTTGCTAAAATAACTAATAACCTTGTTGGCATTGCACCCTTTATTTTTGCCTTACTTTGATGTTTAAGATACCTATCCCCTCCTTCCTTCATAATGGTCTCTCTCTTGGTTTCTGAGTATCACTCTTTAGGTTTATTCCTCCCAGCTCCAAAGTTCATCTTCAGTCTTTGTTGCTCTCCCCTTTTCCTCTGTTACTTAAATATTGGTGCTTCCAGCAGTTTCTTGCAAGATCCTGACATCCTTAAGTACCTTGGCTATTTTTAATTTCAACTCTTTGCCTAAAGGTTAAAGACTCTAAAGTTTGAGCAATTAGACTGTTCTAAAGTTGGCCCATATCCGATTCTTTTTTTTTTATTTTTTTCTGTTTCATTTTTCCTTCATACATACCTGTTTCTAAATTACTAAGGCCAAAAACTGGAATATGAAAAGTAACCAACACTGTGAAATGGTAAGATTTTAAGTATAGCAAATATAAAACATTTATAAACGCCATAATTTCATCACTTGTACCTGTACCTCTTGGGGTATAAAAGTGATTTAGAATGTAATTGTAGAATTATAATTGAAATTTTCACTAGATAATATCACATTAAAATTTTTAAAAATAATTAACGTTTGTTTATCTTCTGATTCGCAGACAACAGGATTCAAGAATTACAATAAAAGCACCAGGATATCTTTTGAAACACTGACTACTTAGAGTTGCTCTATTAATGCCATTTAACTTTCCTGAATAAAACAAGATATTTCCAAATGCTAGTCGAGTATTATATATAAAATAAACCAAATTTCTTGGCTCACCAATCCCAACAAAGTAGCATGTAAAAAATTGTTTAAATAACCTGAAAACTTACAACATGGTAAACTAGGGAAAAATATTGTTTTCTACATCTTGTTTTTCCACAACTATCTTGGGTAGTTTTCCACATCTATTTATCTTACAAATAGAGGCAGCATTCTATAGTATCATATTGGATACTGTGAAAAGAAGCTATTAATAAAAAAATTTCTGAGCCCACAAGCCTGATAAAAAATATACATTGTTGGCAGTTGAAATTGTTAGAATGGAATTAATATAGTGAAAGCATATTTTCTCTATACAAGCTTACTGTCTTTTTCAGATTTGAAACAAATCTGTATTAATGAAGAGTGACTGCATGCAGACCACAATATGTCAAGAAAGAAAAAAAGATCCCATAGAAATGTTTCATTCTGGACAGCTGGTAAAAGTCTGTGCCCCAATGGTTCGATATTCAAAGTAAGTGTTGCTAAATGGTTAATGAACTAAGATGAAATTTCCCTTTTATGCTCTGACTTTTTAAAAGTACTATAAGACCACCAGCGTATGGGAACTTCAAACTCCTACCTTTGGAATCATGATTTAGAATTGAGTCATGATGCTAACGCTTGCCTAGTATATATGTGATCCTGAGTAAACAACCTCTCTGAGCTGCACTTGTTATATCTATAAAAATGGTGGTGGTTGTAACTCCTACCTGTAAGTATATAGTGTATATTAAATAGATACAAGTATTGATGTGTAGATTTTTATGTGAACTTAAGTCTTGGGACAAATAGTGCAATTACTGGGTCCTGAGGTAGTGGTGTGTTCAGTTTTCAAAGAAATATTTCTTGGTATCTTTTGCTCATCTTCTAATTGGATTGTTTGCTCTTTTACTATTGAGTTGTTTTTTTAAAAAAGTTTGTTATAAAATATACGTAACATAAAATTTACCTCTCATTTTTAAGAATACAGTTCAGTAGTGTTAATTACATTCACATTGTTGTGCATCTGATCTCTAAAACTCTTTTCATCTTAGAAGATGGAAATTCTATACACATTAAACTATAACTCCCCATTCCACTGTTCCCTACAGCAGCCCCTGGCAACCATTATTCTACTTTCTCCCTCTATGAATTTCACTACTCTAGGTACCTCATATAAGTCTTATACGTATTTGTTCAAAACTGGTTTTGCTAATATTTTATGCAGCATAACATCCTCAAGGTTCATTCATGTTGTAGCATATATCAGACTATTGTTCCTTTTAAGGCTGAATAATGTTCCATTTTATGTATATTTTGTTTATCCATTCATCTGTTGATATCCATTCATATATTAATAGAACACAAGATAACTTCCACCTTTTGGCTATTGCAAACAATACTTTCATGAACTATGGGTGTACAAATACCCATATACAAATACCCATGGTTCATAACAGGTCTCTGAAACCCTGCTTTCAATTCTTTTTTGACTATGTACCCAGAAGTAGAATTGCTGGATCATATGGTGATTCTATGTTTAATTTTTTGAGCAGCTACTATACTGCTTTCCATAGCAGCTGCACCATGTTACCTTACCAGCAGCAGTGAACAAGAGTTTTAATTTATCCACATCCTCATCAACACTTGTTATATTCTGGGAGTTTTGTTTTTTTTATTATTATAATCATCCTAATGGGTATGAAGTGGTATTTCATTGCAGTTTTAATTTGCATTTCCCTAATGATTAATGATGCTGAACATCTTTTTGTGTGTTTATTGGCCATTTGTATGTTGTCTTTGTATAAGTATCTATTCAAGTGCTTTTATCCATGTTTTCTTGTTTTCTATTGAGTGCTGAGAGTTATTTATATACTCTAGATATATATTCTGCTTTGTCAGATATGTGATTTGCACATATTTTCTCCCTGTATATGGCTTGTCTTTTCATGCTCTTAACAGGATCTTTTGCAGAACAAAAGTTTCATTTTAATGAAGTCTAACTTATCAATTTTTTCTTTTGTAAATTGTGCTTTTGATGTCAAGTATAAGAAACCTTTATGTAGCTCCAGATCCTGAATATTTTCTCCTCAGTTTTTTTCCCTAAAAGTTTTATAGTTTTATGTTTTGCATTTAAGTCCACGATCAATTTTGCATTAACTTTTATGTAAGTGTGAGGCTTAGGTTAGGTTGCCTATGGGTATCCAATTACTCCAGCACCATTTTTGAAAGGCTGTGGGCCAGGCACGGTGGCTCACGCCATCAAATCCTAATTCCAGCACTTTGGGAGGCTGAGGTGGGCAGATCATTTGAGGTCAGGAGTTCTAGACCAGCCTGTCCAACATGGTGAAACTCCATCTCTACTAAATACAAAAATTAGTCAGCATGGTGGTGCATGCCAATAGTCCCAGCTGCTGGGAGGCTGAAACAGGAAAATCGCTTGAGCCTGGGAGGTGAAGGTTGCAGTGAGCCAAGATCGCGCCACTGCACTCCAGCCTGGGCAACAAGGGTAAAACTCCGTCTCAAAAAAAATAATAAAAAAAAGAAAGGCTGTCTCTCCTCTATTTAATTATTTGCTTCTTTATGAGAAATCAGCATTTTCTATTTTGTTCCATTGATCTTGTATCTTTTTCCCTGCCAATACCACAGTTTTATTATATAGCTCTATAATATGTCTTGAAATCAGGTAGACTGGTTCTTCCCAATTTATTTACTTTTTCAAAATTGTTTTAGCTATTCTAGTTCCCTTGCTTTACAAATAAATTTTAGAATGACCTTGTCTATCTCTGCAAAAAACCTTGCTGGAATTTTCATAAGAACTGTGTGAAACCTATACCTCGACTTGGGAAGAATTGACTTTCTTACTGTGTTGAGTCTCCCAATCCATGAACACAATATGTCTTTCCATTGATTGAGATTTTCTTTGATTTCTATCATCAGTTTTGTGTAGTTTTCAGGTTACAAGTTCTGTACATGTTTTATAAGACACCTGGGTTTGTTTTGAGCATGTTTGTAAATAGAATTTTTAATTTTTGGTGTTCACATGTTTATTGCTAGGACATAGAAATAGATTTTTGTATGTTGATCTTATATCCTGAAAACTTGCTAAACTCACTTGTTGGTTCTAGTTTTTTTGTAAATTCCTTCAGAGTCTATAAACAACCATGTCATCTGCAAATAAGGACAGTTGGATTTCTTCCTTTTGATCATGTGCCTTTTGTTCTTTATCATGCCTTCTTGCACTGACTAAAAGTTTCAGTGCTGTGTTGAATAAGGGTGATAAGAGCAGACTTCCTTACCTTGTTCCTGTCTAAGGCAAAAGTGTTCTGTAGGAATTTTATGGATGTACTTTATGAAACTGAGGAAGGTTCCCTCTACTTCTGGTTTTCTGAGAGTTAGCTTTTTTTTTTTTTTTTTTTTTTTTTTTACTATGTATGGGTATTTTGTCAAATGCCTTTTCTGCATCTACATGATCATGTGCTTTTTATTATTTAGCCTGTTAATATGATGGATTAGATTAATTGATTTTGACTATTGAACATTCTGTTTTAACTGGCTTTTTCTGACAACACTCCAGCAGGGAATGATTAGGACAGTGATGCCACCTCATTACTATCTGATAGAAGTCCAAGTTCTTCACTTGGCCTCCTTCAGCATCTGGTGGGTGAGGAGCTCCTTATTACTGCTGGACAGGGATGAGAGTTACAGTTCCCCATGGTGACGGTAGCCTCATATATGCTGGGCAATAATGAAAGTCCTGGCTCTCCACTATGCCTCCTCTGAAACCACACCAAGCAGTGAGGAAGAGGAGTGCTTCATTACTGCTGGCAGGCATGGAAGTCCAGGCTCCCCTTGTGGCCTCCACTGATACCACTGGGCTGGGAGTGACCTCACTGGCCACCAGAGATGAAAGTTTCAAATCCTTACCTGGCTTTCTCGGACATCATCTCAGTAGAATGTTGGAGCACCTTGTTAACAGCCTTTAGAGGGTAGAAGTCTAGGATTCCCACTTGGCCTTTGCTAATGGAGATAAAGCCATAGCTTTTTCTACAGTATTTGGCTGGAGTAGAACTGTCTAAAAGATTTCTGTCTTACTAGGTCAGAAAGAATATTTTCCTGGTCCCTTGGTTAGAGAAGGCTTTTGTTGGGGCTGTTTTTTTTTCTGCATCCATTGTTGTTTCCAGTTGGCCAGCTTCTTCAAGTCTAGGATATTTGAGACAAAAATAAAATCCAGAGAACTCACCACCCTGTCATTCCTCAGGTCCTGAGGTCACTAGCCTGTCTGGCCATCTTTTCTTCACCTTTCAAAATTTTCTTGTGTTTGTTTTATATATAATATCCAGGGTTTTTAGTAATACTTAGCAGGAATAGCAGGGAAAAGTAAATATCCTCCATCTCCCCGTAGGTAGAACTTTCTCTGATAAATATTTAACAATGCACTAAAATATGTTTGTGGTGTTTCTAAATGCATAATTAAGGTTTTATATGCTCACAGGTTGGCTTTTAGGACACTAGTAAGAAAATACAGTTGTGATCTGTGTTATACACCAATGATAGTTGCCGCTGATTTTGTCAAATCTATAAAAGCCAGAGACAGTGAATTTACCACAAACCAAGGTATGTGAAACCGAGTGTACTGACTTTGTAAAACTTTTTAAATTTGTTTACAAACTCCATTATCTTGTCTAATCAGAAACAACACAATTTAGAGATTTTATGTGAAAAAGTTTTAGTTCTTTAGTGTTTTTAATAAGTATTTTTTTACCTGTTATTACTGAATGCCTTGTAAACTATCAGTGTATATACCAAAGCGTAAGGCCACTTTGAAACCCTCTCCTCTCACTAGGGCTATTAGAGTAGATGCCTGTCACACTGCCTCTAGTCTTGTACCATTCCAAACTATCCTCCAAGTGACCTATTGAAAATGTAAATTTTCCTCATTGTTCACAAGGTGGGATCCCCAGACCAGCAGCATTATTATTATCTGGAAACTTGTTAGAAAGGGAGATTTACAGGTATACTAAATTAGAAATTCTGGATATGTGGTCCAGCAATCTGTGTTCTGAAAAGCTTTCCAGGTAATTCTGAGCTTGTTAAAGGTTGAGAACTACTGGCTTAAAGACTAAAATTTTAGCACCTGAGGATAATATACAGTTTTTCATAATCTGACCTCCAAATATATCTTCTGCAGCCTTATCTTCCTTCAGTTTCTCCCCACGCCCACTGACTTTATCCTTCAAAATTCCTAAGTTATTTTAAGTCCTTGAACCAATACCCTGTCTTCTCACACCAGACCCCTTTCTCTCTCTTGCAAACTGTAGTTTATGTTTCTTCATTCAGCTCTCAATATTTGTAGCCATGAATCTTTTTTTTTTTTTTTTATCATCCTCTACTCACGTCCTCCCTGCTAAGCACAGGCTCTTATGTTGCACTTAATTCTACTGCATTATGATTTCCTCTTTATATGCCTGTTTCTCCCATTAGGTTCGGCCTCCTTGAGGGCTGTAGCTATAGAAATAGCTTGATTTGTATCCTTAGCATCTAGTACAGTGTTGGAAATATATTAGACCAATAAATGGTTGTTAAATTGAAATTCTGTAACTCTCTTGAGCTACAAAAGAGAAAGCACCTTATATCTCCATAAAGAATAAAGCAAATTCTCCTAAACCATCATAATCCTATAAATCAGTGGATTGCCATAGGAATCTTGAATCAATGCAACTAGGATGATGCCAAGAAATCTGCATTTTTATAAACATCCAATGATTCTCGTACAAGTATTCCTCAAAAGAAATGTTGAAATACATCTAAAAAGAGTTCATAACACTGACCCAAGGATAAGAAAAATATGTTCTTTAAAACATAGGAAGCTTTAATACATTTGGCTGTATTAAAATTTAAACCTTTGGGCCAGACGCGGTGGCTCATTCTTGTAATCTTAGCGCTTTGGGAGGCCAAGGTGGGTGGATCACCTGAGGTCAGGAGTTCAAGACCAGCCTGACCAACATGGCAAAACCCTGTCTCTACTAAAAATAAAAAAATTGGCTGGCTTTGGTGGCAGGCGCCTGTACTCCTAGCTACTTGGGAGGCTGAGCCAGAGAATCACTTGAACCTGGGACACAGAGGTTGCAGTGAGCTGAGACTGTGCCACTGCACTCCAGCCTGGGTGACAGAGAGAGACGCTGTCTCAAAAAAAAAAAAAAAAATTTAAACCTTTATATGTAAGAGCACAAATATGCTCAAAGACAAAAAACTGAGGAGAATATTTATAACACATGATAGATAGCAATACTAATTGTTTTATAAAAAAATTACAAATAAGGAATAAGGAATGACTAATTATATATAGAAAAATGCAAAGAATATGAAAAGAGCTCACTAATTAGAATATTCAAATGTTGGATATACACTGTATGATAAGTTGTGAGGAAACAAGAACTTTTATCCATATTGGTGTATGTATATATTGGTAAACTCTTGGATGATAATTCTGTAATATCTATCACAATGTTGTATGCTAAATGCCTATTAACAATTCTACTCCTAAGAATTTACCCTATGAATATACTCAGAGCATGTGAAACAGTCTAAAAATACACTGTATGGTCCATCCATACAGCGGAATATCCCACTATAAAGAAGAAAATAGGACTGAGTACATCTCCCAGATATATCAGGAAAGAAAGGAACAGTAGGCATAGTGGTATTTATAGAATGTTCACACTTGTTTAAATTTTACAGGTATACAAAAAAATTGTTCTGGAATGCAGGTAAACTAATTCTCACCTTTGGGAAGAGGGTCTATTTTGTCAAAAGTGTTAGAATTGTTTTCATTTATCAAATTTTGTACTGTTTGAATTTTTTACTGAGTGTAAATTGCTTTTAATTTAAAATATTTTAAATTGTTTAATGTTATATTATTTGAACAGATGCTTCTTAGGCTAAAAATCGTTATTGCTCTTTTATCCTGTGCAAACATTAAAGTTTGGTGTGTGTGTGTGTGTGTGCAGGGTTTTTTCCTGTGAATTTTAACGTTGAGCTATTCATTTTGTCAGGTGATTGCCCATTGATTGTTCAGTTTGCTGCTAACGATGCAAGACTTTTATCTGATGCTGCTCGTATAGTCTGTCCTTATGCGAATGGAATAGACATTAACTGTGGTTGCCCTCAGAGGTAAAGCTCAAAGAAGTTGGAAGAATTTTCCAAGAGATTACAAAAAAAACTATGTGTGAACATGGTAAAATATCTTTCTAGTTTTCCAAAACTTAAAAAGAAAATAGAGTTACAGCCCCGGGACTCAAAACAAGAAGGAAGAAAATATAGGGAAATATAATTTAGGAACATAAATTCAAAGGTCTTTTCTGATGACTGAAACGATGTATAGACAGGTGTTTTGTCTCCCTTCACCAATAGAATTTTTATGTGGCTGTGCCTTGAATCTCATCCATAAGTAGTTATATGAGAATCTAATATTTACGGCAATCCCTAAAATGTATTTTTACTGTCATGTCAGATATGCTTGCTCTGAAAACAGATTGTTTGACTTAGGAAATCACCATATATTTCCTCCTAATTAATTCTCCTTATAAAAATACCTTATTATAATCACCTTTTCTTTCTATACCACAGTTATTTGGTTGGGTTTAAGTAACTGCGTGTTGATAGGATGTACTTAATTTGACAATAATATTTCTTTTTTTTTTTTTTTTTTTGAGACGGAGTTTCCCAAATCGGAGTGCAGTGGTGCCGTCTGGGCTCACCACAACCACCGCCTCCGAGTTTCAAGCAATTCTCCTGCCTCAGCCTCCCGAGTAGCTGGGATTACAGGCATGCACCACCATGCCCGGCTAATTTTGTATTTTTGGTAGAGACGGGGTTTCTCTGTGTTGGTCAGGCTGGTCGCGAACTCCCAACCTCAGGTGATCTACCCGCTTCGGCCTCCCAAAGTCCTGGGATTACAGACCTGAGCCACCGCACCTGTCCTGACAATAATAGTTCTACTGTACTGGCACTGTAGTAGATTATCAGTAATTCAAAATGTGTCCACAGAATAAAAGCAAAGTTGTTAAGTATAGCGTAATCTAAATCAGATGAGACATATTTGTATACTCATTAGGAGAGTTAAATAAGCTGTTTAGTGGTATTGGAATGCTGTAGGCCAAAACTATCTTTCTACTATTGAGACTAATAAAACCTCATTATGTACAATAAACATCAAATTTGGAATTTTTGAAATCTGAAGTCATTGCAATTAATTACTTGAAATATTTAAACCTGTTTTGGTTGAATGACTTTTAACTTAATATTCTCACTTGCCAATGAAAACCATTTCTCCTGAGTACTTTTTGATCTGGGAACATGTTTTCCTAATCTCATATTGATCCACTTAGAAATGTTGAACCTATGAATTTTTTAAATCTGCTTCTATTCTAGATCACTAGAGAAATGGATGCACTTATATTTCATTGCTTTCAGAATTTTGTCTTCTCTTCCAGTTATTTATAATTCACTTGTTCATATGTTTGCTTTACAAAGGTGGGCAATGGCAGAAGGTTATGGGGCTTGCTTAATAAACAAGCCAGAGCTTGTTCGAGATATGGTGAAACAAGTAAGAAATCAAGTGGAAACCCCTGGATTTTCAGTTTCTATTAAAATAAGGTAAAGACAATATTTCAATCTATTGATACGATCATCCGTTACTTAGGAAATAAAAGATTATTCCTTTTGTCTGATGCTGTTAGGAGTGTCTATCCTAAATAAATTGGTAGCTGGTGTATGGAAGTGTTGAAAATAAGACATTTAGTAAAAGAATATATACCATAATTTTCATGTATAGTCCTGAAAAACTTCCTCTTGTACTTTTAACGAAAGTTAAAGCCTCCCTTTATTGTAAGTCTCACCAAACTTTCAACTTTAGCTATGTAGTATTTAATGTTAAGAAACATTACTGGTGCCAAGTATAGAAAACAGGAAAAATATTTGCACTAAAATTTCACAATGAAAAGAAAATAAACCAGGAATCAGTTTTTCTGTGACAGGTTGAAAATATACTTCTTTTTTTAAGACAGTGTCTCACCCTGTTGCCCAGGCTGGAGTGTAATGGCACGATCTTGGCTCACTGCAACCCCTGCCTCCCAGGTTCAAGCAATTCTCATGCCTCAGCCTCTCAAGTAGTTGGGATTACAGGCGTGTGTCACCACACCTCGCTAATTTTTGTATTTTTTAGTAGTGACGAGGTTTCCCCATGTTGGCCAGGCCAGTCTGGAGCTCCTGGCCTCAAGTGATCCACCTGCCTCAGCCTCTCAAAGTGCTGGGATTACAGGAGTGAGTCACCGTGCCCAGCCTGAAAACATATTTCAAGATAAAGTATTATGTTCTCCCACTTGGCGATGGGGGCATGCACAGCAAATATTAAGGTTTAAATTCATCTGTGACAGTACTTTCATGGCTCTTTGATTTATCAAAGCCAAAGCATAGAAGCACTAGGTCTAAGATAAAACTTTTTTGTCCTTTGTTGTCAGTAGTGAAATAGCTAAATTTGAGGTCTTGAGTAGGAACTGATCCCTGAAGAAAACCTTGCTGATAATGACATATAGTAATAATATGATATAGCAAATCTAACTAATTTAGTAGATGAAATATCATTTTAGTCAGTTAATGTTAGCATTAAGATTTGTGTGCTGTGAACAGATAAATATAATTTTGAAATTGTAGGATCCATGATGACCTTAAAAGAACGGTAGATCTTTGTCGAAAGGCTGAAGCAACAGGAGTTTCATGGATTACAGTCCATGGAAGAACTGCTGAAGAAAGACATCAGCCAGTGCACTACGATTCCATTAAAATAATTAAGGAAAATATGTCTATACCTGTGATTGCTAATGGAGACATCAGAAGCTTAAAGGAAGCAGAAAATGTGTGGCAGATTACTGGGACAGATGGTAAGAAATAAATACTTGGGTTCTTTTAATTGGGAAGAAATGAGAGTGGGGAAGTAATGTTAATTTGATTTTCATTTGTTTTGTTTAACATTAAGCCATATTTTCCCATTGTACTGTTTTAAGCTAAGCAATTTATTAAAATGATGTTAAGTTTTCTACCTGGAAAAACATGGATTATCTTAACTGGGATAAATTAATTCAGTTACTTTTCTGACGCCATCCTATCTAGTGACCAGTGAAGAATTTTCTAGATAGCCTACTAGTAAAATAAAGCACCTAGAAATGAGAGTAAGTGAACTCGAGAATGATAAGAGCTAAAAGAACCCCAGAACTGCTGTGCAGTTTCATTATTTCCTTAAATTATTGGCATGCCAAGCCCTGTGATTGCTAGATGGGAGAATATAGATAAACTGAACTTTAAGCAGCCCAATTTATGACAGTCTAGATTTACCCTAAAGAAAAACTAAAGACTAACTGTTTAATGTAAAAATCTTTAAAAAATAAAGATTTCTATAAGTACATTTAAACTTTCCTGGTTTACAAAAGGTACCAAAATTAATTCTTTTGTAATTGAATTAAACATACTAATGTAATAAAGGCATCACAAAACCTTGGTGATAATACTTTTTTAAAAAAATTCTGTTTGCTTCATTGAGCTTGAACTAATAACCAGGGGTTCTTAATGTATGGACAAATATGGTGTGCTTTAATTTGTAGGTGTGATGGTTGCAAGAGGACTCTTAGCAAACCCGGCCATGTTTGCTGGATATGAGGAAACCCCACTGAAATGCATCTGGGACTGGGTTGATATTGCTCTTGAACTCGGGACTCCTTACATGTGTTTCCATCAACATTTAATGTACATGATGGAAAAGATAACTTCAAGGCAGGAAAAAAGGGTATTTAATGCTCTGTCAAGCACGTCAGCAATCATAGATTACCTTACAGACCATTATGGCATTTGACTAGACTTCCCAAATAATGTTAATATATACTTTTAGACCCACAGTGAAACCACAGGTCATATTTTGTACCTTAAACTAGTAGCTCCCAAATTTTAGTATAAAAACAATCCCTGGGAGCATTTTTTAACAATCAGTCATAGACCCCACCCTCAGAGATTCTGATTCGGTAGATCTGGGGTAGACCCAGAAATGTGCAGTTTAAAGAAAACTCCCGGTAGTTCAGACATCCTCATCATCCTAGGCAAACACTGACAAATACTGCTCTGAGTACTGTTATATAGATATTAGGGGGATGGGAGTGGGAATTTTTTCCTAAAGGAATCATGTTTTATCATGTTTTTAACATTTTAAAATAAAATTTATTTCAATACTAAGAAAGTATGGCTCATGGTATCTATAAGGTAACAAGAAGTATGCAGGTGCAAAAAAGTGGTGGAACAAATACCAACATCCATCCAAAATGAAAAAGAACAGGAAATTCTGAATAGAATTGCACTCAGAACTTATCTTAAAAATTCCAATTGGTTAATGACATTAAATTTGGTACATTTCAAAACTTCTAGCTCCTCCAAAGATTGAAAGCTTAATAAATAATACCTGCTACCTAAAAAGATAAAATTAACTGCAATCTACCATATCTTAAGTATAGGAAATTTGATAGCCAAGCTGGAGATGATTATATATTTGAAATATTTCCTAGAGAATAGTAACCAGGTTTTGTTTTTAATTTTAAAACCTAATTTTCATACTCTCTGTTTAATGATATTACTTTTATGCCTCTCAGCAGTTGATTGTAACTTTAAAGTCCCATGGTTTGGGAGTGTTATTAATAGATTTTGTTACCGGTGGGCATGCACTGCAAGAATTAAGTATCTCAGACTGAAATAAAACAGTTCGTAATTAAAGTATTATTTATTTTGCCAACATGAAAACTGTTATAAGGAAATAATTATGTAAAACTGTTTAATTCGCGTTTGGGAATATTGAATGAATCCATTTTAACGTAAGCACCGTGGTGCCATCTTTTTTCTCAGTACATTCTGTTTTCACTTTTCAGTTAATGTATTTTTTTTTAAAGATAACTGACTTTTTCATTTTCTATGAATACTGTACAAAATAGGGAGGTATGGTCAGAACTCTGAATTGAATTACCCTAGTGTTGTGAGCACAGCATCATCACTAGAGTAATGTGCTCGGTGTTTGGAAGGAACCAGTGTGGAAGTTCTAACACTTTTGATTAAAAGTAACTTCCTGGCCGGGCGCGGTGACTCACGCCTGTAATCCCAGCACTTTGGGAGGCCAAGGCTGGCAGATCACGAGGTCAGGAGATGGAGACCATCCTAGATAACATGGTGAAACCCCATCTCTACTAAAAATATAAAAAAATTAGCTGGGCGTGGTGGCGGGCACCTGTAGTCCCAGCTACTCGGGAGACTGAGGCAGGAGAATGGTGTGAACCTGGGAGGTGAAGCTTGCAGTGAGCCAAAATTGCACCACTGCACTCCAGCCTGGGCGACAGAGCAAGATTCGTCTCAAAAAAAAAAAGTTACTTCCTGGCTGGGCGCAGTGGCTCACACCTGTAATCCCAACAGTTTGGGAGGCCAAGGCAGACAGATCACTTGAGTCCAGGAGTTCGAGACCAGCCTGGCTAAAATGGTGAAACCCTGTCTCTACTAAAAATACAACAATTAGCTAGACATGGTGGCAGGCGCCTGTAATCCCAGCCACTCAGGAGACTGGGGCCAGAGAATCGCTTGAACCTGGGAGGCAGAGGCTACAGTGAGCCGAGATCGCACCGCCACAATACAACCTGGGTGACAGACAGAGGGAGACTCCATCTCAAAAAAAAAAAAGAAAAAAAATCTTCCTTATAGTTATGTTCAAAGTCTGTGTTTTCTATTTTTCTGTTACACGTGATCCAGATTATTCGTGATAAATTCAGAAAAAGAACAAACTTAAATGTGTTTTTGAATGTTTTATATTCTATCATTATCCATTTTCAGCATTTGTTTACTATTCCCCAAGTAATTGTAACCAGGATAGTACTTTTATTAAATTCCTGATACGTTGTCAATATTGAAAAAACTCTTCAACAATTTAAATGTACATGCACAGTTTGAAAAGCTGGAAAATAGTAATTAAAAGAATATCCCCATACCCACCTTTCGTACCAGTCCCCAAACATCACGCTAAAGTTGACTGCCTCTTGCCAGCCCATGGACGGGAATGGGAACGCCTACGGAATATGTTGTGATACTACAGTTGATCCTACCTTCTCCAGAACAAAATGCTGCACGACCACCTCATCCTGGCCCCTTATCAAATGATAGCTTAATTCTGGACACAAACAGTTCCCACTATAAAAAGAGAGGAGGTGACCGGAAAGGAGTGCATCTTAAGCGCGTTCGCTGAATTTGCATCACCCAATCCAGCCCCGGCGCCCGGCCCGGCTCCCTAGACCTGCACCCCGCGCGCCCTCCAGCCGGGGCTGCACTTAGTCCTAAAGAAGTTGCGCTCCGATCCCCAAGCATCAGGTCAAAAGTCTAATTCATGCTCTGACTCCTCCGCCAATTAGAAAACAATTGTTGCCCATATACGTGGTCGCGCCGCCTGTGACTTCAGACGGGACGGGCCCGCGGGCGGGAAGCCTGCGGGGCGGGAGGCTGGGTGGGGCCCTGGCTCCCCTCCCCCGCCCGGCCGCGGCGTCTGACGTCCCGCGCGTCGGCTGCCGCGGAGCAGCGCGGGGAGCCAGGCGGGCAGCCGGCGGGTAAGGGCGACCGCGACCCGGGGACCCGTGGGGCGCTAGGCCGCGGAGGGAGAGCGCCGCTCCCTGGTCTGCAGAACCCCGCGGGGCTGGCCCTGCCCGGTCCGCGGAGCGGTGGTCGAGGGCCCGCGGCGCCTTCTGGGAGCGGGAGGGCCGGGAAGCCGGGCGTTGGTGGAGGGTGGCGTTGGGCTTCTGTCTCCGCGAAGCTGGCGGAAAAGACAGTGGCCAGCGGGCCGCCTCGCCAGGTCCCACGACTCCCAGGGAGGTAGCCACCCGCTTCCCGGGCCACCCTTTCCCCCTTCCTGACCGGGGTCCGTGCCGGTCCCCCAGGTGCGGGAAGGTGGGACACGGTCCTTCCCCCGGACAAAAACGCTGCGCCTCGGGGCATTGAACTGTTTTGTTTGAAAGGAAGCAAGATAAAAATAAGCGTTTCTCCATTTAGGTGTGAAGAAAAAAAAATGACACTCCAGTGGGCGGCAGTGGCAACCTTTCTTTATGCCGAAATAGGACTCATTTTAATCTTCTGCCTACCTTTTATTCCTCCTCAGAGGTAGGAAATCTTCAAATCGTTAACTATGATAAATATTGGATCGCTCCTAATGTAAAATGAAAAAAGTTTTCTGAGCATTAAAAAGTTTAGAAAGTCTTTGAAAATACACACACCTAACGAATTAGGTAGTATATAATGGCAATATTAAAATAACATTTTATATAAAACTCTGTTACGTGTACAGGTGAAATAACTTTTTCTTCCCTTCTAAAAGGAAAGGGGCCTATGCTTTTGATTCTGTTGATTACAGATATAATAAAGCAACAGTTATACTTTTAACACCTGCCCTGCCTTGTCTCAGGTTTTACCTTTGTTTTATTGCCCTGAATTGGAGCCATGAACTAAATAAATGTAAGTGGATAAATCATGTTTGCAGTACAGCATAGGTGTAAAAGTGTTTCATTGAGGCACTGGAACAGCAATTTAGAAACCAAAGCCAATAAATTATTCTTAGTTTTGGCCTATGTAACCGATAAATAGTTTCATTAATGTTTAATGACAATTTTACTACTTTTGGGTTCACATAAAATTAACGAATGTCTATTAAAAGTGCTGAATGTAAAAAGTATCACAACCATGTATTAGCTTTAGTTCTTTAGTGACGGATCTAAATAGTCCCAGCTACTCGGGAGGCTGAAGCAGGAGAATGGCGTGAACCCGGGGGGTCGGAGCTTGCAGTGAGCGGAGATCGCGCCACTGCACTCCAGCCTGGGCGACAGAGCAAGACTCCGTCTCAAAAAAAAAAACAAAGAACCAAGTACAGTGTTTCAAGCCAAGCACTGGCTCATTTTACCCTTGAAATAATCTACTTTTTAGTCGTTTAGTTTTAGATCCAGAAATTTGATAGTATGAATGGGGAAATGCACACGTAATAAAAATGTTGCAAGACATTTGTTCATATTCCTGGCATAAAAGAAAATCTTTCGTAAATGAGATCCTAGAGATAACTCACTAAAGTGTAGTAAAATCCCAGGAGGACTGGGAGAAACTTCAAGAAGTTTTACCTTAGCTCAGCGTCCAAATAGTCTTTCACAACTCCTAACTTGCTCCTTACCTGCCTGGATTTCTGCTCTCTTCTGTCCTTCTCTGTCAGCTAAGCTAAGCTCAGTACGTTGTTTCTTACTAAAGAAAAAAAATTGAATCATCCTGTAGGGTCTTTGATCTTATTTGATCCATCCCACCCATGTTCTATAGATCGCATACTGCAACCCAGGAGGGCAAGTAGCCTAAGGTTACCTAGCTGGTAAGTGACAGGTTCTAGATAAAAATCTGGCTCTTAGTCCAGTGTTCTTTCTACTCCGTCATGCTGCCTCTCATCCTGTAGGTTTTGTTTCAAACTCAGTAACACCCTGTTTTGCTTTTTAGTAGTATTTGCAATGATAGAATCCTATATATTCAAGAGAAAGATCTTGTGTGTAAACATCTAATTTATAGATAAGACTTAAGGGTTTGCAAAGAAGAAAAAATTGTAAGTTGATCTTTTCTCCATCAGAGTGATCTGTAAGTTATGGATCAATATTTTTCTTCCTGCCAAATAAAAATTTTACCCATCCTGATCAAGTGGCTGTTAGATAGATGTGTGTATATTTGCACATGATATATAAATGTATTCTCATGTACAAATATAAAGAAAATACGGTATGTATGCACGCAGATCATTTATAATGTGCCCTAACTATGTGTGTATCCACATCTTTTTATTTTATATGTGTATCACCATAATCTTTAAGAAAATATTTCATCATTTAGTCTCTATTATTTTCTTACATAACCCAGTGGTTAAAGGCACATGCTCAGAAATCAGGTCACCTATAACTGCATGATACTAACCTTGGGCATGCTCTTGATCCTCTCTGATCTGTTTCCCCATCTGTAAAATGGAGATAGTACTAGTGTCTACCTCATATGGTAGTTGTTGTAATTAAATGAGATAAAACATGTAAAAATACTTAGAACCATAATATAGTGAGAACATAATATGTTGTAACTCTGATAAGGTGCTCAAATGCTAGTTGTTCCCTATGGGAGGTCTCTTATGTTCCCTTTTACACCACACCAGACCTTGAAGAAATAAATAAATTTCCATTTGGACCTAGATCAAGATATTACCACTTATGTTATCTTAAAAATATAAAATTTTATATTGCATAATTTAAATATTGGCTATATAAAATGCTTGGAATTGGAAGCAGAGACAAAAGGAACCGATTCATCTGTATGAATCTCCCTCACCCCACTAGTTTCAAGTAAAGTTGTCCTAATCTTAAATCTTAAATTTGTCCTAATCTTAAAGTGAAACTTTTTTTTTCAACTTGTAAGTGCTTGAAGCGTAAGTGCTTACTACATTTTTCTGCCTCCTTTTGACTAAAGTGTTACTCATTTAAATTGCCCATGTACAATTGCATGATGGATTATTTTGTCACTCTGCCATTTACAACCCATGCTTTCTTACCACTGTCTTTGCTTATACTGTTCAATCCATCTAGACTACTTCCCCATCTCATTTCCTCTATGTTCACATCTTTATCTGTAGTAATTACATGGCTTTTTATATATATATAGTGTGTGTGTGTGTGAAAATTATCGTTACATAATTAAGATTTTTTCAATTT